ATATTTCTATATGCCTCAAAAATAGACTACAGTACACTCCAACAAATACAGTTACAGATTCCCTCTATTTTCAAATGTAAGAGGATTTTCATAGTATTCTGTCCTCTTTATTATTTGCTGTTTAGTGTCACGTTCTACTACTGGGTTGTGATTCTATAAATGCTAATTCAGGAAGAAGTCCATGCCTGTGTTGAGAACAATTATGAGAATGACACACTGTTGTGCATTACCTTTGCACCTGTCACCTCTACGGAATGAAATTTTATTACCTGTCACAGTATGTAGTTTCCTACTGGTACAGAAGATCCCCTGGGACTTGTACTGCCCTGTTTCACAAGTTCTTTTTTCCACCTCTGTTTTGGCTCACATGTTGCTTTGTGTTTTCTGAATGTGCACTAGGTGAGATGACTTGTCACATATGACAACTTATCTGAAGTTTGCCCTAATGATTATCAAGAGTTGTGACAGATATTAAACATTTCGGCTTGAAAAGGAGAATATTCTTCTTGACAGAGCACAATGGAAGAGAGGATGTCCATATCTGAATTGCCTTCAAATCGTTACCCAGTGTCCCTGGATTCATTAGGCTATGATCACACTTTATAACACCATCATTCTTTGAGCAGATCTAGAACTGAAGTCACTTTAGCAAAAACTAATATTGTGACATTTGCTTTAAGGCCTGTTCTCTAACAAGCCTTTTCTTGCAGTCATTTATTAAATGATACTACTACTACTAATTCTGTTCACAGTATATTTGATTGTACCCAAGTTGGACATTAAACTGGTGTAGGGAGAGGCTAGGATTCTGTGGCTGAATTCTGCCTATAACTCATACTCTAACTCATATGATGATGTCTGTCAAGCTGATATTGCATGAGAAATTTTAGAGTTGCAACAGTTTCCCGCTCTTCTCCTCCACTCCAGATGTTCCATCTGAATTATAATACTGGCAATTACATGCAACCCACACAAGTACAAAAGATTTAAACCTCTTTTTGGATGGCAAACATAAAATTTAAGCAGACTAAAGCCTTGAATGAAATCTTAGTATCCCTTCCAAAATATGAAAGGACTCTTTCAAAGCCTTTATTTTAGGGATATCATACAGTAATGCTGTCACAATAACAACGGTGATTTTTAATGGGTTTACCTGTCACTTAGACGCTATATGTCAAACAGTATGTCATAAAAAAGAGGTATATAAATGAGAAACTAATCAATTCTAACGTAGAAAAGTTCTCATATACTGCTGATTTTATAACTGTTCTGATAAATTTTTAAAGCAACTGAGCAGATAATATGAATTTCCTAAATTCTTCTCATAAGGAGATATTCTTTCTTTCTCCATTGTGAAATCACAGGCTCAAAAAATGAAAATGCAGCTGGAAGCAGCTAATGTTATACATGTCTCTCAGAAAAATGATAAAGGAATTAGAAGATAGGTAAAAGAATGCAGAGAAGGGGAAAATGTACTCACGTAAACAAAGGTAAAAATGGAGGAAATTGAACTCATTACATGTAATCAAAATTCTTTAGCAAGTTTAATATGAGAGTCTCTCATAGAAGGAAAACTGTCAAAATGGAAGATGGCTTTCTAAAACAGAGGTCCACGCTACAGCAGATTTTGCTAGGGCTAAACTTTACAGCTTTAAATAAACAGTGGATACAAAGAACACCACAAATGAAATCATCAGACACAAAACTATCCTGATAATTAAGTTAATAGAGTTCTACAGATCAGATCAGAGATGTAACTCTTGTTTTTATCAATGGTTTCCAAAGAACCAAATAATTTCATACATTACAAGCAAATGAAATGAAATTAGAAGCCTTTGTCTTGTTATGTGAGACAACACTCAAAAGTACATGGGATTACCAGTTTTAACTGGCCAGTTGTTTTTGCAGTTTTTTAGCAAGTGATTCTGTGATTCAGACAAAGATGTAAGACACAACAGTAAGAACGACAACAGAAGGGTTCTTCCTTATTTTTAGTTTTGCATTTGTTTCTTGTCTAGAGTAGTTCTGGAAATGCAGTATCTTCCATTTCTACCCAGAGATATGTGCTTTTCAAACAGCTTGATTTTTACGTGATAAGAACACAAATAGAGAAAATCTTGGCTTCTAGCCATCCATAACTTCAGCTATATCGCATTTTCCAGCTTTGTTCTTTTCTCCTATTGCTTGCTTCTAGGATTTTAACTGTAGATTTTATCTATGTGTTTTGGACTTGTTTTTCATTTTGAATATTGAGTCCTATATACAATTTATGAGAAGGGAAACAAACAATGACAGTCTCAGAAATTCTTAAAATGCTCCAAAAAGAAATAAAATATTGGTTTCAATTGAGAATTCAAATATAGGCTAAGTGACACTTGAATGGCCAGTTCAAAACGTAACTTCACGTATGATTAATATGCAAAGACATTTTTAGAGTGCTCCTAACTACTCTGCAGCCACCCACAGACATTCCAAGTGCTTCCCCATCCTTTCACATTCTCTGTTGGAACATGTTTACATGTATCACAGTCCTGGGCTTTGAAGCAGCTGGACAAGCTATTGTCTTACCTAAACACCTCTGAGTGATTCATATTCTGAAATGAAATATAGGAACACTTACCTCTAAGTTTGTCTTTGCAAATACTACTCTAAAACAGTTTTCACACCCAGTAAAATGCAGTAAAATTTACTCAATGTAAAATGTATAAACAAGACGAAACAGAAAAAAAACCCAAACCCAAAATGTGAAATATGGGAAGGAAGAAATACATTACAGTGATACCTTCAAAGAAAAAATTACAAGTTCTTAAGTTTCCCTTCTGAAAAGTATTGTTTGCCAGTATTTTTACTACATCTGTAGGTATTGCAGGCATATAAAATCTTTCTCTTTTTCACTATCTAGATACATATTATACATACAAAATAAACTGCACATATACACGAGCACACACAAACATACAAAATCTATGGTTTAGCTCCAGTAAACCATAAAACAGACACTGAAGGCTTGTTCACCTTTTCTATAAACATGCTAACTAAAACATCAAAATTGTACCCTTCATAAGATCTCTCTGGTAAGACTCTTGGATTTCTTCAAGTGCCATGGTACTCCATCAAATCAGTCATGTTAGTCCAAAAGATATATACTGAAATATCCATATGGGCAACATTCTCTTAGTAGCTTTATTATAAAATGAAATAATACTGTACTTATTATCAAACTAATTTACATATTCAGATTTTCCATTTGTCTGAAACAGAACTGCAGATGCATTTTGTTGTAAATATATGGATTGGGCATGTGAGTGCAAGAAGAACAGCAGAAGAATTGCTAAGATTCTTGGCTAAATCAACAGTACCAAATTATTCCTTGAAAACTTACTGCAAAATACAAAATCACTGTACAATTGGAGGCTCATTATTGCTATTCTATGAGCCAAAATAACTACCTCTGCAGAAATGACTCCCCAGGCATGAAACTGAAAGTTTAAAAAGAACTCTTATTACCTTTGCCAAGGTAATACTATCTCAAGACACAGAGAACATTTTAATAGGGAGAATTGAAAGTATCAACCTCTCTCATAACTGAAAGCAAAGTTGCTGGCACTTGTCTGCCTTTGACTGACATACATGTTTGCTGTCTAGTTTTCAGCTAGCATCCAACAAATAAAAAAGGGTCACAAAACATATTTGTAAAAAATATAGAAAAGTAAAATAATTCTCTTGAGCCTTAAATCTCACTAAAATTGTCTGCTATTATTACTGAGAGATTTCAAGATTAATTATCTTCACAGACACTCCATACCTAGGAGGTTATAGAAAAAATTCCTGAAGGCAATGGAGTACATAGCTATAGTTTTGCACAATGACCTTAAATTAAACTCTCCATCTGATGGAGTTCACTATACAGCAAATTTGAGACTATACCTATTTGGTTAGGACAAGGTCATAAAGAACAAACACGCTTTACATTCTTACTTTGCCAGAGGAGCTACCAGAAAGATGTTCAGGGGAAAGCATCTTTTCCATTGGATTAACCCACTGTTAATGACAGTATGTAAGCTGATGTTGACAGTAATGTTGATGACAGTAGCAGCAACTTTCGGTCATTCAGGTGGCAAAAAGTTCCACCTCCCATATGTTGGAGAAAAAAGCTGCCAACCCTTTTATGTAGGGATGATTCTCAGCAGCTGACTATGATTAATAGCCTTTTTGTGGCCGTTTTCTTTTTTTGCAGATATGTAAATCTAGAACCTGATCTCTAGATATAATAGTTTTATTTGAGAACTTTGCTACCTGTGTTTAAAGTCTTGCACTGTGAATACTTATACTAGAGCTCTCAACAGGAGATGTGACTTCACTACCACTGGGAAACAAGGAGCAATCACTGTCAGATGAACGGAAAGACTGATCACAGGGTACTACTCTGTGGCAATCAAAGTAGAGATACCAGAAAAGGAAAAAAAATCAGATTCTTTTAAATTCTTTGACGTATTTCTGGAAATGTTGAGCTACATCCAGCAGTGGGGCCTTCCCCAAAAGATAGTTACTCAGAATGTGACAAAATTTTATACTCTAAATTAATTTTGGCGTGGAAAATAATCTCTGAGAGAAACCTTCCTTCTCCCTTTATTGGATCAGAAAAAAGTATAGTTGCTGCAGAATTGTCTCCTCTTATGTGTATTAAGTATCGTGCTTGTGATGATACTGCAGCAATAAATTCAATTTGCAGCAGTAATACATGTTTCAACAAACAGAAGGCAAAACAAGATAAACACCATTCAATAAAAATTTTATCAAATGATTCTTCTTATTATTAGAATAGACTTACTTATTTCTCTAATGAAAAGGGTAAAAAATCTTCTCCAAGATGTGCCCTGTCACAACACTGTGACACTTGCACTGAGTGCCATTTTCTCTGGTATTTATTTTTTCCATGGATGCCATAAAGCGCACCACATGAATATGAAGTGACATCTTTACTAACATGTGGTACTTACTTATCTCCTACAATTCCCAAGTTGATTGTTGGGTAGCCATGTTCTTGGATTGTAGCTAGGAGAGTTGAACGGTTACTGTCCCGAATCTTTCCTGGTAAGAGGTCATCTTCAGGATTCAGTAGCTATAAAATGAGAAACATGCTCAGTCAGTCTCCTTGGAATACTGTGCCTTTACACAAGTGAGCATTTTCTTCTTTAGATTAGACAGGATACTCTTAGACACCTATCATAAAATATATGTGTAAAGTGATTTAGTGAATTTAAATTAATAAGTTATGTAATGTGCTTGTTTAGTCCAATCCTGCATGTAGCTTAGTTTGTTTCTATTGTTTCATGTCTGCAAAACCTTCTTTCTCCTTAAGACTACCTGGTTTCTAATCTCAAACATTAGAAATCAAAACACAAACTTTAAGTTTCCAGGTTATTGATTCTATTTAAATGGTTTTAAAGGAACTTCATTGATATTGCTAACCATATTTAAAAGTATGAAAAAAAAATTTGAAATTAATTGTCTACTTACCAATAAAGATGTTTTTTAAATACAACAATCTGTACTGGAATCATAGAAGCTTAAAGCTTGGTTCTTATATCAGATACTGTTTTGGATGAAAAACTTTCTCTCAAGATAGTATCATGGCAATTGCTTTACATGTGTTACATATTTTGGAAGTTAAACTACAAAACATACAAAAGTAAACACATATTTTACATATATTAGGAATTCTTTTGTAGGACACATAAAGACAACACAATATTGACAGGACGTAAATAATAATAATAATGATGTATCTGTCAAAATTACAGCAAGAGTGTTAGGTAGTAAGGTAAGAATAACCAAAAGGGAAGCATGGCTAAAGTTTGATGCTTTGGCTAGCAGCTCTGTTTCTGTGAAGGTTTCCATAGGATGTTTAAGAAACCCACTGTGCAGGATCTTTTTTAACACATGATAAAAACCAGAGTGCCCACATCAGTAAAGAACCCTTTAATGACATGCAAGAACCTTCAGTCACAGGGAAGATACTATTCAGAAAATAATGACCTGTAATCCTTGTAGCTCTTTGGATTTGTTCTTCGGTGAGCGGTAAGCTTCCCGCACGACAGACCCTGTCTATGTTATGAAATCTGGCAAGACTCTGTCCCAGCAAGGCTGGCCTCAGCCACCACAGTACCCAGTAGTCACAGAGTAACCTTCACTGGGATTGTGGAAGTTGTAAGGACACCACCAGATGACAAAATTCAACATATTAAAAGTTTTCAAAATTCAACATATTCAAGCTGTATGAGAATACAGCTATTGGGTTTATGTTTATGTGTGGATTTCAAAAAGTTTGTCTCCAAGGACAGTCAAAATTATAGTTCAAACTTCATGCTGCCTTTAAACCTCATATTGACTTTATCTCAGCCCACAAGTTCTTTTGCTTTTGCTTCTTTCTCTTCTCTCTCTGACCCACTGCGGGAGGGACTAAGTGAGTATAGTTGCTGGCTGGGGTGAACCCACAAGATATGTAAAATTAATAAATTAAGTTAATCTTGAAAGTGATTTTTCTGATGTAGTTAAGACAAAGCAATTAGAAAGCTAGTCTGGAGTTCTACCAACAGGAGATTGTCTGGATTTCAACATGTGCTACTATTAAAAAAAATATTAAGGCAGAATACTACAACAAGACATTTGGTAGTACCATTCAGTTTTCAAAGACAGGTTATCTGCCATTTGCACTATAGCTACAGAGGACTGCTGCTCAAAAGAAATTACTCTTCCAGTCATGACTGGCAGTATGAATTACAACCCTGGCTACCCCACAGGTCCTCCCTTGCTGGCAGGAGAAAAGTAGCTGACACATGGTTGGATACGTTACCAAAATTTTTGCAAAGACAGTGTGTGAGACTTGTGAGAGAGTCCTTGAGGGAGAAAACACAAGCATCTGATTACAGGTTGATCACTCACAAAAATACCTCATGTCAGCATGAATTGCAGCTCAAAAAGTGAGTCTACTTGGGAATAGGGTGGAAGTCACTATCCAAAACACTGTCCAGAAGAAGACATAGTAATACAGACCTTGATTCTAAATATATTTTTCTTACCTCATTCCCTGTTGACATGACTGCAACTACTGGAAACTTGTTAACTTCTACTTCGGTTACTCCAACAGTTGCTAAGAGACCAATCTCAGATGGACCCATGTGGGTTCCTTTAGCCAGCACACATTCACCTCTTTTAATGTCATGTCCTATAGGTCTGAAAATCATAGTACAGAAAAAAATGAAAGAAAAACAGAATGACATTGAAAGTATCTTTCCTTGATTGGTCCTGCTCCCGGTGAGGAGTGTCCAGGGATGTTCATTAGTAAGATTGTCAAAATGTCAGTCTACTTATGGTTAAAAAATGACTATAAAAATCACCAGGCCTTCTATTCCTTACAGAGATATTTTACTATTTATAAAGTAGGATGTTTACAGACCTGATATCTTGGCCTGGTCGAGCCTGCACCAGGATTCGAACCTCTAGTTCTTCTGTGCCCTACAAAAACAAGGAGATCAAATATGGTCAGCTGGGCTATTCAAAGGAGATTAATCAGATTTAATTTCTCAGAAGTCTACACAGCTTACAGTACTCATTACACTGAGACCTTATGGTTTAAGCATCATCACTGTTCTCCTGATCTGTGTGTCAAGACTGTAATATAATGTATGCTAAAACGATGAGAAATTCTCTCTTTGATGAGCTCACCAGGGGAGGACCAGCACTGAACACATAGTTTTACCTTTCTTTCTTTATGGTACCTGGTTTTACCTGTCTTTCCTATGTTAAGTCTTATGTTTGTCTGTTGATCTGGTATACCGAGTGGATTCTTTCTACTCCTCTCAGCCAACCTGATCTGCTCAACAATTTCAATGATGGCACTTCAAAAAGACCATTAGTCTGATAGACAATATGTCACTACATCTACAGAATGGTGGGAAGAAGCTATATGCTCTAGCTGTTTCAGGATTTTCATGTAGATCCCTGTAGCAGAAACTCCTACTTGAGAGCTTTGTACAAACCAGAAAAAGGCTTATTTATCATGTTTATTTACTGTGAACAAGAGACAATGGCCTGAAAAGTCTGATGCCTACTTTAATATTTGTGTTTACTTCTTCAGAATTTCAATGGTTTGGCAATTCATTCAATGCTGATAAATGGCACATGGACTATATTGTTAATATTTAATTTATAAGCCCTGCAAGTGGGTTGATGATATAGACACTCAGCTTTGAGATAGTGCCAGCCTGTCAGTAGCACTATATCTATACTTACTTAGACTGGAACAGATTTTGTTTTTACATTATCACGTAGTGCTTCATACTTTAAGTACCTCAAAGTTATAAATCAGAAACTAATATTACAAGACAAATAAGGCACGTCATTGTCATTTGGAATTTTTACAGGAACAATAGTGTTGTATAGGACACTGGGACTTGTCTCTTTTCTTAAAGGTGATATGGACTGCATTTTGAGTTCAACCTAAGTGCTTTAAACTAAAGGCCCCAAAGTTAATGTTAATGAACGTGTTGTTACAGATTGTGATTCTGTTTATCTACTGTGAAAATGGATAAATTTAAACCCCTGAAAACTAGGAAATGACTAACAAAAACATCAGCTCTGAAAAAACTGATTTCTTACTTTATCACAGTATTTTCAAAATACGCTTTTAATGCAAATTCTGTTTCTTTTATACCTGCTCCTCTTGTACACAAGAAGAGACTATTTTTGGCTGCTAGTGTCCAAAATGGCTGTGCTGGTGCCCAGGATGTCCTCTTATCTCCCTTATCCCCATCTGAAGCTGTAAAAGACACTTTAGGCTTGTGATGAAAACCTGGGGCAACAGTTAGTCTAAGAATTATTTTATTTTTATAATACTCTGGGGACGGTTGGCCAGTCACAAAGATTTGTATTTTCCATATCTTTGATAACATTTAAAGATAGCTAGGAAGTTTCTAGGGAATCAAGAGGAGTGCCAATGATACATTTGAGTAATAGAAAAGGTCCTATTTAGGACGGCTGGATTAGGGGAAACAAGGGAAAAAAAGGCTTTTGAGTACTTTAGTAATCCCAGGTTTGAAGAGCACTGTGGGAAGTGTGACTGTGGACAACATAGTGATGTGCAGAGAATGTTATTTATGGAATTGATGGATATCCCAGAATGCTTTACAAGATAATTCAAGCTGTCAAGTAGGGCTTGCAGGGAGGTATGGCATTATGCTGAGAACACCCTCCTCCATTTTGTGTGTATCAGGCAGCATTCTTCTTGCTGTGTATTAATATATTTTGAACTATGTCCAAGTGGTTTACTCTGATGGTTGTTAACAGCCAGGATCCATACTGATATACTGATGCTTGGTCTTGATATAGGATTTAACTCTTGTTTTGGTTGATCACATTGACCTCCTTTTTCCTACAAAGTGACATAAAAATTCAAAATTAAAAGGATGTAGACATGTTTTTGCAAGGATCTTTCTCAATGATTGTGCATTTGGCAAGCTGATGAGAATTCTTCTTCCTGCTGGATAGATGTAATTCCTTTCAGGCCTGTGACTTCTACAGACATTTAGGGAATGCTTGCTATGATATTTAAGTACTGCTACCACCACTAGAGGTCAAGGAGCTCCTTTTAAAAGTACTCTCTGTCTTTTCAGAAGAACATTTTTCAGATGTTAGAGATTTCATTTCAGTTAAATCCCAGCCCTGAAGGAGTTCTTAACATTAAAAAGAAAAATATTCTTGAAATATGTAGCCACAGAGGCATGAAAAAGGAGAGAAAAATACATATTAGTTAAACTATACTAATTATTTATGTACAGGATTAGCAGAGTAGCGTATTCAAGGACACGTAGAAACTGAAGAGTTCTACCTCACACTTACAGGCAGGAAAAGGAAACTGAAGGTGGCTGACCATTCGCTAAAAACTTCAGAGTTTAAGCACAAAGCCAAATAATCTGTTCTCACATGCAGAGGAGAACATGCACAGAAAAAGTGGAATCCAGAAAGACAGTCATCCAAAGAAGTAGAAAATAACAGGTTATCATGTATCTTGCTCTGCAATGTGATAGTCCTCTCATGATGAGGTGGGCAATGGCCACAGAAAACTTGCTCAGTGAGGCTAATGGGATGATTAACAAGCAGTGAAAGCAATGGTGTATTTTATGGGAAGATATAATCTACACATACACATCTGTCACCTCAAAGCAAGACTGACTCAGTAAATTGTTAGGAAGAAGGTCAGCCTAGACAGCTTGCTGACTTCATCAGATGCAAAAATCTATGCATTTACAGTAATAAGGCATGAGAAAAGATCATGAGAGTATGTTTCAGTTTTTGCTGTCTTCATCAGCTTTGAACACTAGAATTCATCTGCTTACACCCCAGCTGCAATCACAATGCTAGCATAGAGCTATGGCGAAGTGGAACAGCTTGTCAGAAGAGCAGCAGAGAAGTAAAGGCTGATTTGAGCAGAGAACCATGCACACACTTCATTCCAAAACTGAACTTGGAAGCTGTGTCAGTAAGAGACGTATCTTCTTGCCTTAAATGTGTCAGATGATGGCAAACATGACAATGGTGTCCTGAAATCACAGCTGGGTAAGTGAAGGCAATGATTCAGAAAGAATTCTCTGAACACAAAGGAAGTCTAAGATGGACTGTTTCGGATACAGTTGTCTACAGACAGCTCCTGTGCTTCATCAAAAAACACATTTTACTTTGTTAAGACAACTCTGCATACAGAATTACTACTGCAATACTCATATTTTTTCTGTGGTATTTCACAGCATTTGTAAGATCGAGTGCTAATACGATTTACAGGTATGCTGGAAAATCTGTTCAAATTATACAGTTAAGACTATGTTCTGGGGGAATATGCACCTTATCCATTTCCTGGTTTTCAGAGGTCTTGAATTCAGTAATTTTCTCATTTTGAAGGAGCACAGAGGTCTATTGAAGAAACTTAGTTATGGTTTAAAAAAATCTGGGGGGCTCTTACTTCCCCTGTTACATAATAAACCCCCTTGTTCTAAACATATGCATTTATTGTAAGGTATGTGCACAAGACATATTCTCCAAAATCCACCACATTCCCCTCTGCTGAAATGAGACCAACTCTGGTAACATAGAACCATCTCCATAGCATAGTTCAAAATAATCCAAGTCATCTAACGGATTTTGCAGCACTTAAAACAATTCACTTTCCCACAGAAAACCATATTCAGCTTTAATTACACACTGCAGTATTTCAATGTATTCTTCTGGGATCAATATGTATTTTAAGAAAACTTTTCCCCTTCTTACTTGGTGAGTTTAGGAGAACTTTTAAAGTCCTCATCTTGCTGAGTTTCAGGATGATCCTGAAATATAAAGAAAATTGCTCTATCGCTAAATGTGAACTCAGTAGAAAAGAAGGAAATATAATGTCTGATTGCCACTATTCTGTATTTTAAAATGTGAATACACTAGGCACTCAAATTGGACTGTAGTTACGGATCTCTGGGAGGCATTTGCCTTTCACTCAAATCATGCTCCCAAATACTTTGGTGTCAGCATTCAACAACTGTGATGAAAAATCAGTGTCAGGACAGGTAGGTCTGCAGTACTGTTATCACAGCCTGAAAAAGTGAGAAGAATTGCCACTAGGAATTGATGTGAAAATTCTCAAACTTCTGAGATTAATAGAAGAGTTTTTCTGTAGGACTATCTTTTATATTTACACGATTGTATCATGAGCCATTTTCTGCTGAACACAAAAGAAAAATGAGTTTTAACTCATGACTCACATCATCTGATTCCCTGATGAGCTCTGTATCTTCCACTTGCACCACTGCATCAGCACCACATGGAATTGGAGCACCGGTTGTAACGCGCATTACCTGACCAGGCATCACAGTCTGAGTTGGCTGAAAAATAAACAAACAAAAGTTAATTTACTTTTGAAAAGAAAAATCTCAAACCATTTGAACTTTATGGAAGTAATCTGAAAGACTAAAATTCTTATTTGTGGCATAAGTCTTGATATACTGCTAGTGATATCAACAGATATAAACTCCAATGTATTTAAAGATCATTAGTTCATTGCTTCAGATCTAGCTTTTTTAATATGGTCACATATCAGGTGGCTTCAGGTTTTTCCCCTTAGATTTCTATCACAAGAATAACTTTCAGAACAAGGAATACACTGATACTCTGGTTGGCTCAGAAAAATAACTGGCTCAGAAATCTAACAGCTAGATGACGATCATCCAGAAACTTACATGTGCAAAAATCTAGTAGTTCTCTGTACATAAATATTTTTGTAGAGTACTCTGGTCCCCAGGGTTGAAATTACTTTCCTTTGGTTTGGTTGAGTTTTTATTCTGTTTTGTTCTACCAGCACACTACATATGGAAAACCAGCAGCTTGTAAGTAAAGTAATGTAACCAGCTGCTTCATTTTTAAGCAGATTTCCTCATACTGAGAGACAGCTCAACACTAGTTCACATAGGATATCTATCTTTGTGGGGGTCAGTTTAGCAAAGCCTAAAATTGATAGTATTCTACAGTTATGTAAAGTCACAGTACATTACAAAGTTTCAGCAGAAGCAATACAAAGACTAGAAAAATATCAGAACAAACAAATGACATGGTTTTAATAAAATTTCTCACCAGGCAGCCTGTTTTAATAGATATTTTTCAAAATCCAGAGTAAAATTGTAATTTGACCATAACCACTTAAGAAATAAATAACTAAAAGAAAAATCTTTCTAAAAAATGCAACTAAAAGAAGCTGGTATGATGATTGAGATTTCATTGCTGGCATATGAGTGCTTGCTCCCCGCAGCACTTTAGTAAGCCCTACTTATTTAGGCTTTACTGCTATTAAGGAACATGTGCTACACACAGATCTACGCAGCTGTGATCAGACCAACATATTTCGTATGTGTCACGCGTATATATAATTCATGTGCAGATTGACTCTATATTCCATATGCAGCACTGGAATATGCCCAGGACTTCTCAGACTGTGATTAGCGTGTATTTGATAGCAATCCACAGACCTGCAAGCAGTACTGCCCAAGCACTATTCTTACCCGCTCTCATCCAGCAGTCATTTACTCTATGACTTTTGACAGGTGGCTAAGACATCTGCAGATTCTAGACCAGTGGCCAACGTTTCAGCTGTGCAAAGCTGTGTTTGACTTGCCCATTCTTCTGCTCCATTTCAGCACTGTCACAACCTCTGAAATTTGTTACTTTGAAATGTGTATTTCAAAGGTTTCTCATTGGGACAGAAGCCCTAGAGAGAGGCTGGAAATGGACTGTACCTGGTTTACCACAATATCACAGTGACCTATGTATCCCAAGAAACAACTGAGCCTGGAGTTGATTGAATCCCGACCCTTTTCTAGGGGTAACAGAAATCTGACATCCTTTGAAAAGAACATAAATAAAATGCTAAAATAAACTAAAAAAAAGATCACACTTGCCATATGTCATGGTTAGTGTGTTTTTAGGGCAAGATTCATGTTATCCTAAAGTAGGTATCTTAAACAGATGACATAAAAATAGGTTTTTTTAAAAATGGTATTTTTTTCTCACCACAGACTATGCAAGGAGCTGTGGATGAATAGCTGAGATGCTGCCATTTATCCTGAAGATGCTTAAAAGCGAAAATAATCTTGTCTAGTGTGTTCTTTTGATATTTATGAAAACAAATACTGCAAAAGGCAAAGCTTATGCCTTGGATTATGGGAGCTCTTTTGCATATAGTGGTAGATGCTGTCTATACGCACATTATAGGTAATATAGGTAATACGTAATATTGTTTTGAACTTACTAAAGTATTGATGTCTTTAGTGACAATTTTTAGAGGAAAAATGTATCGCATAAAAAAATTACCCCATTTAAAATGCTTTTTTTGGGCCTCAAAACCCACAAAGAATATAAAATGTCTAGGACTCTGCCAGAAATCAGTGCCTATGGTGATAAAATGCGCTCTAACTATCCATGCTTTTGGAGTTTATTACTAGATGAGTTAATTTTTTGAGGTGTAATGATGTGAAACATTTAAACAAATTTATGATACAATAACAATTGCTTTTAGAATTGGTTGCTCATGTATTTAATTTCCTTTTTGTCCTTTGAGAATTTGATCAGATTGACTTTATGAACAAAAGTCAACCATCAGATTTGTGCATGAATCTCCAGGGCTGTGTTCTTCTGTGCTACAGACTATGAAAATAAAGAAATTATTTCTTCTCAGAAAGCATATTAATGTACAACAATTTCACAGAAGCTCTTTTAAAGGCCTTTGAGTCTCACACTTACCTGGAATAGGGCAGTACTGGGTTCTGTCCTTTGCCTTCATTACTGATAATCTATTTAATGTTAGTCACTGAATAAAACCCAGAAATAATCTATCGAGCACAGCCCCCATCTAAGGCATTTTCTCTTGCACATGATTACACCTCTCCTGCGTGATTTACAATGACCCATGCTCCCTTCTGTAAAAAAGCCCAAATTAATGGAAAGGTAACAAATGTCTATTTTCCATCCTATATTATAGCTGATTAGTCACAGTGCCTCTTACAGATGTCTTTAGAAAGTCTTCCAGGAAATGCTAAGCTCCAGCTATTCAAGTCTATAGGAAGAAAATCATTGCTCCCCATGGCTGAGTTTTTCACACAGAAGCCATGTGGATGGCTCATGACTAGTACACTCAAATGTGCCCTAACCTCCCCAACGCAGGATAGTGTCTGCAAGTCTTCCACAGTACAAAATAAAAAATGGTTGTTAACATAAACACAACCATCTGGAAATGGAAATCAGAAAATAATACACAATTTACAAATTGATACAGAAATGTCCAACTTGGCTATATGGTCTCTCTGCAATTCTCAGTCCCATTTTCTTCCTCTCTATGTAGCATTTACATAACCTTTTTTGCTACAGGAGGAGCCAAATCTAAATCTATTTTTAACTCCCTGCTGTGAATCATTCTGTTAATTGGTCTGTAACATGAAAAGCAGAATGTTGCTGCTGAGAGTGACTGAAGGGTGAAATGAGACTGAGGAGCCTTCCAAGACTATAAATAATTTCTTGGGAAGGAGATGAACCTAAAGATGTGTTGGCCCAAGAAAAAAACTTTGACCAAAGATCAGCAGCCTCATTTTTCTAACTTGCCACTGGTATTCCCAGAATTACTCTCTCTCTGCATGCCTCCTCCCACCCAATTTTTGTTCCTTCCCAGAGAGGTTTCCCATTCCCATTAATCTGGGAGGACAGACTGTCCCTGCAGAGAGACCTTTGTGAGCTCTTGCATTTTGTAGGAGGGAAGCAAGCTCCCATTTGCCCTTTTATCCTTTGTATAAACCTGCCGAACTGATTAGGACACTCAAACCCTTTAGAGCTGTGGGCAGTCCTCCCCATTAGACACAGCTTCAACAGTACTGTTTTTGAGCACCAGTGTGCTGTGATATTTTTTAACTATCAAAATGATAATATTGATGAAAGGTGAATAATAATAGGAGTGATAATTCATCAGGTTGCTCTGCTAGTTCTTGCTATTTTATAGTGATCATAAAAAGGGTTGTAGAAATAGTTGTCAGTCTTTTGGATTCTAGACTAATGCTTGAAAATGCAGATGGAAGGGCTAAAAATCCAAGCTGGGTGAAATTCATTAGTTTACTTTTTTAGTATTTAAAGTAACTTTACATATTTTGTATAACAGATTCATTAATCTAAGTTCATGTGAATATCATTATTAAGAAGATGTCTATTATACCAAAGTATAATTCATGATGATGGATGGGAACTACAGCAAAAATTATTTTCCTAGTCCTCTGTATCTATCATGATTAACCAAATTAAATGCCTATTATACATTTAGGGGCAGTTCAAGTCCATTTTCAAAAAAATGGAACAATCCTGCAACTGGTAATACTTCTAAAACCTGAAACAACTTTTAAACTGTATCTACTTTATTCAAGACTTTTTTGTTTAGCAGTCAAAATGGCCACACTGTAAAATGCTCATTAAAACCAATCAATCTTTTGACTTCCTGTTACTTGTTCCATTTCTGCATCATTTCATATACAATACACAGAATTATAAACTGGGACTTGAAATAGCTAGAGAAATATTTTGGATTAACCCATGCTCTCCTGTAAAGCAGGACTGACAAACTGACAGAAGAAAAAAAGTGGTTGAATGCAACTGATTTTTTTCCTATCACCCCAGTATTAGTACAGGAACATTATCAAATGTACTCTTGAGTCTGAAAGTAAATCCCAAATAGTGCCCATTCATGAATATTTATACAGCACAGCAGGTCATGAATGGGTGCTACCCTGACTTGCTCTTAAACTCGATCCACGTTATCTGCTAAGGTGCACAAACACTCTTTTGATTTAACAAACAGAAAAGGAGCAATACCACAAACTAGGCTGCTGCCAGGCTTCCTCAAGATTGTTATGATCATTACCTACCTTTAAAGGTTTCATACAAAATTCTTACACTTTGTTTTGCAGGTATCAGTGTGAAATATGCATGCAGCTTGTGGAAATAGTTATTGGGCTGATGTCCCTTTTAAAACCTGTCAGCAAGAAGGGGTTAAATCTTGCTTTTCTCTTGTTTATGAATTGTAATGCCACTGGAAACCTTATGTCCTCTAACATTGTACTAGGGCAGAACATTACTGTATGCACTCCTACATGTCAGCACAATGCTCTGAAGTATTTTGGGATATCCTTGCTAGTTCCTTATGTAACCGTACAACCTCACTTTCTGAAATCATGTCCCAAGGCACATAGCAGGAGGCTAGGTACAGCTGTGTCCTACTTCATGCCACCTCCAAGAATATTGATTTTGGAGCACTAGCAAGGCTTGTAAAAATACAGAGCAAGTATCTTACAAAATAAAAATACATTAAAAAAAAAAAAAGAGAAAAGAAATTGTGCTCACCTGCTCACCAGCCTGGGATTCCCCTATGATGAATCGATCTCCGGGGCCATCAGCAGCTGTTAAGATGGACAATACAAATAGTAAAGGCTGAACCAAAACAAATGATGCCATTAGAAATTAAGAACAGGAGAACCAAAGGATGGTCTAAGATGCAGTTCTTCAGTGTCAGCATGACAAAAGGGTATAGAAGTTTTGCAAACATTTTACATTTTAGGTCCTTTTAAGTTGTGTTTATTATTTTGAAAATTACAAGTTCTATGGTACTTTTAACTGAAAATTTCTGGGCAATAAGGGATCAGGTAAAAGGAGATTAGGAGGAATTACATTAGTAACAAAGATTTAAGAGTGTTCATGAGATTATTTTGATAAAAATGTCCACTGTGAGCAAATCTTTTTCCATGTGAAACTAACACAGGGGGACCACATATTTTGTAAATGTATTACCTATCTTTTTTCTAGACAACAATGGAATATTGACATTTCTAGATTCTGTCTCTGCCTTTGGAGGAAAATGTGGACAAGTGCAGTGGTTACAGACTGTATAGATGACCATACAGGTTTGGCATTTTCTGAAAAGCACTAGGGCTAAGATAATGCAACTTGGACTGCCACATTAGAAGTCTGTGTTCTGTTTCTTTTTGTAATTTTAGGAGGTAGCACTGAACTAGTTACCTTATACCTTTCACTGAAGCCATTCTGAAAATTAGAAGTCAGAGATCATTGATTTAACAAACTGAGTCTCCAGGACTTCTAATTTAGCCAGATCTGTATTTTTACAGGGACAACAAAGGCACCATTACTAATGAACTTTAAGCTTCTGCCTGCCTCAAAGGTCTTTCAGCAAGCTGCATTAGTGGTATTATAGGCTCCACCATGGTGTGAAGCATGTATGAAGCACAAGCAAGTCTGCCTGTCCAAGCACAGCAGCCATGCTGTCAAGAGTCTTCAGACAAACTGTGTTCATACAATCATATTTAAATATGTTTTTTTATTAATTTTAAATCTTTAACTGTCAAAAGTTGATTTCTCAGAGATGAAGTCTAATCAGTGACAACCTTTATCTTAATACCTTCTGGTTTATTTTGAAAGCCCTGAATATACAGCAAGATAACCTTATTGTATTGAGAAGAATTGCTTTCAGGAAGGATGCCCATTCAGTCTGTATAATGATTTATCACATTTGTACTCATAATTCAGCTGCAGCTCTGCAGATGGTGATCTATGGTACTTAGTCATGTTTGAAGACTAATGATTAACTTAACTTTAAAAGTCTATCAACAGCCTAATCTGTGAGCTTTCGAACAAACTCTAAAATAAGAAAGTGGAAAAGGACTCTTCAACTACTTGTCTTTGAATAATGCATATACTACTACTGAATACAGTTGTCAGACCTTCACTGAAAAAAATGCGCTGGGATGATCCAGCAAAAGAAAAGAAAAAATTCCCTAATAGCTACATTATTTTAAACCTGATAAAATGCTACTGAATTAGATTTTATTCCCCCATTAATAATGATATGGAGACAAAGTTTATAGAAGATACACAACTGATACGGCTTGAAAAAAGCGGACAAGGTTTTGGGCAAACAGGTTTATGTGACTGAAAGCTAATCGTTTATTTTTTTGTAAAAAATATGTGTTAATGTAGTCAATATTATTTCTGCCTACAAGCTTTGTTTCTCATATCCTGTGATAACGGGTCTGCAAGAACAATTTAGAATAGAGTAGAATAGAATAGAATTATTTCAGCTAGAAGGGACCTACAATGATCACTTAGTCCAACTGCCTGACTACTTCAGGGCTGACCAAAAGTCAAAGCATATTATTAAGGGCATTGTTCAAATGCCTCTTAAACACCAGCAGGCATGGGGCATCGACCACCTCTCTAGGAAGCCTGTTCCAGTGTCTGACCACCCTCTCGGTAAAGAAATGCTTCCTAATGCCAACTCTGAACCTCCCCTGGCACAGCTTTGAACCATTCCCATGTGTCCTGTCACTGGATCCCAGGGAGAAGAGCTCAGCACCTCCCTCTCCACTTCCCCTCTGCAGGAAGCTGTACAGAGCAATGAGGTCGCCCCTCAGCCTCCTTTTCTCCAAACTAGACAAGCCCAAAGCCCTTAGCTGCTCCTCATAGGACATTCTGTCCAGCCCTTACACCAGCTTTGTTGCCCTCCTATGGATGCATTCAAGTACCTTACTGTTACTCTGTTTGAATCCACCACCAAAATTAGGGTCCTGTGAGTTGGTTCAGACAGAAGCTGTTGAAGACGGCGTTCATGATCGTTCTGCTCATTCTGCGTATTTACTGAGATTGTACTTGTGCTTTCCCTTACCTTGTAGCAATCAGGCTGCAAGACAGCATCTGCTTGATCCCAAAGCCTTTGTCAGTCAGCATTCTACTCAGAGCTCCCCTTCTCAGCTTTTCTCAGTGTTATACTACCTGTACTTCTCTGGCTACATCTGCACTCCCTTGCTGCTATTACTGGTCATTTTGGTCTGCCTGTCTCTCACACACATAGATGACAGACATCTGCAGTCAAACCTGTCTTGTACACCTGGAATTTTATTTTTATATCAAATCCATGGGGAAGCTATTGGACTACATTCATTGACTGGGTTTGCAGACAGTCTGTTTCATGGACAGCTGCTTTCCATTGTTTCAGCTGCCAGTAACAAAAAAGATATTTTAATGTCCACTGAAAAAAGTTGGCTATTGTGTCCAAATTTCAACACGGTGTTACGATGATTCAACCCCTACCACAATGAATCACTACTAGTATAATGTTCCATCATATATATGTTAATTTTCCTCTATAGATATCTGAGGTGAATATCATTAGCCTTATTTTACAAAGGGAAAACTGACGCACAGAGAAGCAACTTGCTCAACATCATGCAGCACCTAGTGGCAAAGCAGAGGATGCATTGAGTTCTCCTGGGAAACCACTCGCTGCTTGCTCCATGAAGTCACACTACTAATTCTATTTTATACAGCAACTGCAATATTTTCTAAGTAAATTGAGATTTTCTTTTGAGGTGCCTCCATAAGAGTACGTTCTGATATGTATTTTTGAAAATACTCTAATGCAATCATAAAATAATTCACAAATAGGAAGCTGGATCTGTGACAGTTCAACGAAGTAACAGATATAAGAAATTCCCAATTAAATAAAAAACAGAGGAATAGAAGAAGAATCTGTCATTCAGAAACGGATGTTCTGTTACTCTCCTGAATTCTTTATGTTTCCAAGAAACTCACTACCAACACAGGTGCAAGTCCATGAGCACACATGGATGTACCTTTGCTCACGTACATATGTATCCACTTAAAAGATCTGAATTGAACTTTATTGTCTTCTTTCAACACAGCTGCATTCTACGTAACTGTGACTTCAGCAATGACCTGAATGAAATCTCAACCAAAATAACCACTGCTGGATCCCAAATAGGTGAATTAACATGTTATAAAGTGGTTTTACAGACACTATACTGCATGTCTACAAAGTGAGTGTTTACCTCTGACAGCATAGCCATCTTTTACTGATGCTGGAAATGGTGGTAGATTATCTTTTGCATATACATCTTGAGCAAGGACTCGGCCCATTCCATCTAGAAAAGAGAAAAGACCATGCTCCATGTCATTACAGCTAGTGAAACAGAAAAAAAGCGAACAGCAGTGTGCTCTGATGGATGAAATGTATGTGTATGTGACATGAATAGACCTCTCAGGTTTTTGATTTCTGCCTCTACATAAATGAAAAAAGACTGGACTCTGAAAGTACTGATGAAAGATTTTTTTCAGTAAGCTGTGTTCCTGGTTATAGTGAAATTGTTGACAGTAGATCTGAATATCAGGTATCCAAACGCAGAGGTATTAGCTCCGATACAGGATCAGACAGAAAAAAACCCAAATATTTGTTTCTTCAGGACAAGCTTTTCTCCTGAAATCTTTTAAAAATACATACTTCTGTGTATTTCCATTTTAAAAGAAAAGCTCTTCTTTTTTTTAAAAGCTTTTAAAATAACATTTCAAAAGTGAATCCTGGGTGCAAAAGGTGAGAGAGGATGGATTGAGCCCAGAGGACTCAACATAAACAGTAATGATAGGCAAGTTTCCATAAACTGACAAAGTTTTGCAATAGATTAACTTTGCCTAATTGCTGAGAGCATTTCTGCTTAATGGAGGGTAAGTGCACATAAGTGTCAGGATTATATATGTAAATTTACGCTGCTATAGTTCTAAATATTTTAATAGGTGTTTCGAACATACTCTTTCCCTTCACTTAGCAACTATGACTGACGAGTTGTAAATCGGCTCTGTCTCACTGTAGAGACTGATACGAATTACTTCACCCTCAGTCAACTGTGCACTATTAGTTTGCTTTTAAGGCACCAGCAAGAGCTTTTTTTAGTATGATATGGAACAGAATGGAAAATATGTATCTTATCCCTTCATACAGTGTGAGAATGAGAAAAAAGATTTATTACGTGTGTGATTGAATGGACTGGGAAGGGGCACATGGGTCAGAACCACTGAGATCAGTTTGATCCTAGTATGTCTAAGTAGAAGGGAAGCTCATCTCGTAATAGAAGCCACAGCTCTTCAGAGTGCGTTGGTGCACAGGAAGGCAATATCCAGCTGAAAGTATGAAGGAGTGAGAGGATGCATGAATACTTCTGCCAGGATAATTTGCGTGGATATGTAGCTTATAGATTATGATCTTTCAGACATGCCAAAAAAGAGAGACATACATAAAGGGTGTTTCTTGTTTTACAGACAGGGAAATCAATGTAGTTCTGGATTTGCTGGGAAGGCAGAAGACCCAACATTGCACACTAAATGGACAGGTTTTGTTAAAAAGTGCACCTACTTGATTTGAAAATGTTCAGCTCCAGTGAAGTGGTATTATAATGGAGATTATATTTTACTTATTAACACAAAGTTATTTAGTTAGTAGTTAATTATATTAACAACTATAACATCATTGTGCTCACATCCATATGTATCAACTTTCAGCCTGCGGCAAATATTTATGTTGCATTTTTGAAATAGGTATTGCCATGAAAATGCTAATAAAACCTGTTAAAGCCACTAGAAAAGCACCTTTCTGATGGCTATTAATACGTCTGTGCATCACTGCGTATCACTGTCTGCGATACACAATACAGAAGTTATCAGAAAGCTCATGAAAGCTTGTACACTTGCACTGAATAAAGGAATACAGACACAGACATTTAAATTATAGCATAGAAAAGGCAGCTATCAAAGGCCTAGTAGAAACACCCTCTGTTCATAGATGCACAAAATCTCATACAAAAGTGATGCTTCTAATTTTAGCAGTGTTGTGTCTTCATTTTACTTCTTGTCTGCATGCAAAGTCACACCAATTAGACCAAAGTTGAACAGTATGTTCCCGGCATTCTGCCATGCAGTATTTGAAGAGAATAAATAGCCAACCAGTAGCGGGAATGAATTTCATTAAGGGGGCAAAAAAGTAAGAATTATTTGCTGAAGCCGTAGGCATTTAAAATGAAGCAAGTCAGCAAATAAAGGACAATCTGAAGTACCTCTGTACTCTCCTTTATTTGAGCAATTATTTTAGAAACACACTGTTTGACCTTATTTTGATTAAATGTAATTCAAAAAAGATGTTCTGAAATATTTTCATGTCATCAAACTGCCCCTTGTGATGTCCACAGCTTTCCGATTCTAACACAAAATGCAGAATTACATTAAACTCACTTTTCAAAGTTGGGTATTTTCTAAAGCTTAGCTGGTAAAACTGGTACAGTTCTGTGAAGAATTTTGATTTCTCAGGGTATTGGTACTGCGATAAAGCAGTGAGACAGGTATTGTACTAGAGGTGATGGATTTGTTCCCATTTTGTAAATATTGCCCTGGTAGCACTTCAGTGTGATATGAAAAGGCAATGCTATCAAAATAATCAGCTAGTTTGAAATGAATAAGCAATGGAAAAAAATGTCCAAGCTCTACAGAAATTACAGGGCTCTTGGACTAGATCAGAAAAACTGCTCCATTCTGAGGCTTAAGCCCATGAAGTGTGGACTGCCTCTGCTTTGTACTTTTAGTATCAAACTTCTGCCTCTTCTTAGTTTCAGAAGAATTATCATTATCATGCTGTCTAGAAACTTAACCTTATATACCCATGGACCAATGTTCAGGTAACTGCATTTAGCTGGAATAAAAGGCTAATTGGGGGCTTCATACCAGATATTGATGATGGCAGGTGGGAAATATGCTTCAGATGCCTTTGGTTCATGGGACTTCTGTAAAAAGTTTTAGGACTTTCTATTATTTTTTTTTTTAATATGGAAGAGGCTAAATGACCTATAGAGGCACTAAGCAATACACTTACCAATGTGAAAGTTATGTTTCAAAAGATGACTTTACTCATCCTCCCCCTTATGTTAGGAGAGAATAGATTTGAGAGACTACAGCATGCCTTGACTTAATCAAGAATAAAGTCAGGACTGTACTGGCTACTTGCACAGAGTAACATTCAGCAGCTTTATTTATGAGGATGAATACTGTGTAATATGTTTCGTAATGTAAATAAATCAGGTTAAAATTAATTAGGTAATTTTTTAATGAAATAAATTGCAGTCCTAGAACTTTAAGCATTTCGCTTTCCTTACAGAGAAATTGTGCTTCTGAAAGGTAATTTTCAGGAGCTCAGTGTTAATTCAAGACACAAAACCATGAAGAAAACAAACACAGCACAATAGTGCTTTTCTGAGTACAGTTAATTAGGATTCAGATCTCCACGACTACATTTTTATTATCTCCTGAAATTACAGGTATATTAACTGAAAAATAAATGAATACATAATGAAAAGAAAAATTGGTTCTTAATTAACTGTATTCTTCAAAATAAATTTTTTTTAGCAAACTAACATATATGTGTGCGCACGCATGCATACACACACATATACATATATATGCCTATACAAAAAAATCCTATATATTTGTCTGTATAACACTACAGTGATCCCTTAAGAACTTCTGAAAATGAGATTCCATCTTGAGATTTGTGTCTGTAGATTAAGAGAATTGAATTTCCAATTCACAGATATTTCCATCACAGACACAGATATATCCTTTAGGATGCCTCCTAAAGGCTCATCCTGAAATTTCATACTATGTATTAGGAAATCTTACAGTGCTAAAATAAGTGTATACTTGTTGAAAAATAAATTGGGAGATAGAATTTTGCATTACAGTGCAAAAATATGAAGGAATAAGTCTTTGTTAATATTTTCATTCAATTATGTGAAAAACCAAGAATGTATCTCTACAGCTGACAATCTTACCATGTATCTAACTCTTTTATTTTGGGTGGGAGGGAAGAGGGTCATAAGTGAAGTATCTTAGCAGACTCAGAACATTATTTTTTAAAGAATAACAGTGCCAGGAATAATAATCAATATGTTCCAGACTTAGAAGCAATATCAACTAAGATATTATAAAGTATATTACAATACCTTCTCTTACCTTGACAGTATATTCCCATATAGTAGAATAAGAACAGAAGCAACCAAATTGCCTTTTGACAAATTAGAGTATATAAAACTCTATAGCGAATATAAGCATCTAGCTAAGAACAATTACTGCCATTCTGTCTCTGTAAGGACATTTTGAAGAGCATGTAGTCTGAATAGAATCACTCTGTTATTGGTACGGTAACATTATCAGTATTAACACAAAACTGTTACTTAGTCCATATTTTGAATGGTTTTTAATATTAAAGTAAAATACATGGCGAAATCTTGTCCAAAGCATGTTGCAGGAAGAAATCATATATACTGTGATTTTGTCTGATTTCACCATGGTTCTAATGAAGAAGCTTACAAATGAGATATATGAAAAAGCTGCTACCTACTGTTGATATAAATATGTTTGCACAAAGACTGGTGTATACATATAAATAGATGGCGACGTTATTGTTCTGTAGATCAACATACATGTAGCATGTGAGGATTATGCTTATTCTCTGTCTACCTAGAATATTTTTAGCCACATTTTATCAACTTCTAGGGAAAATACAGCTTCTGTCCAGAAATACAATAGCAGCAATACAAAAACATTGTGAAACAGTATGTAAGTTTTCATCCAGAAGTGGAAAAAATAGAGAGATGGAGAAAAAAGAAAATAAAGATAAAAGGACAAGAGAATAAGACATATTTCTAGAATCAAGGACAAAAAAAGGAAAAATAACAGCTTAGCGATACTTGTTTTTCCCTATAATCAATACAACCTAAACTCAAGAACTTATTTCTTCACTTAGTTTTGCACTAGAGGTTTAAAATGTCAAAACTATTTTTATGCAAAAAGGAATAATAATGCTACAGTACCTTAACAGTACCTTATGTAGCAAAATAAACATATGCTGTGCTTATTTTTCAGGGAGGTATATGCCGGATTTTTATTGTTTATTTCAGGAGTTCAGTGTCGTATACATAGCACCTATTTGGACTAAATGTACCTAACACTGTGGCTCATCATACTGTCCACAAAGGGCTGTCTTAGCAAAGACATTTAACTGACAGCTATCCCAAAAGATCTAATAACTATGCTCAGGCATTTAGACCTTAATGCCTTCTTCTAATATGCACACCATTATGAAAGTGCAGGGTGTAATATGCATTCCTTGTTGATCCAGTATTGGTGCTGTTCTGAATGCAGGATATGCAGCATCCTCTCAGAGATCTGCTTTGTGCTACCAAGGCACAGGGGAGTGCTGGTCTCCACTTGGAGTGACTAAACGTACAGGTGGGATTCTATGTACAGTCTGCTAAATCAGTATGCCAATATGAAGACATCTCAAAGGTTTGTGGTAGGTGAAGAGCATGAAAACTTTGAACTTTCAAGCCAAAAGACAGAATACCCCATTCGGAAACCACTTGTACCACTCTGCTATCTGGAGTCCACTGATGTCCTGAACATTTTGCCTCTTGAGGCTTGTGGTTCCACTGTCTCTTCGCTCACCACCTTACCTTTGCAAAATCTGGAGGAATCCCTGCAGGAGGTTTCCTCTTCCCTGCCTACTTGAGGATTACTTGCAGCATGCTTCCCATCATAGTTTTGTTCTGTGCCAAGAAGACTCTCTCAGATAATGCCCAGGTTTGGTGTAAGGGTGTGCTGGTTTTGGCTGCAATAGAGTTAATTTCCTTCATAGTAGCTGGTATGGGGCTATGTTTTGGATTTGTGCTGAAAACAGTGTTGATAACACAGGGATGTTTTTGTTACTGCTGAGCAGTGCTTACACAGAGCCAAGGCCTTTTCTGCTCCTCACCCCACCCCACTGGCGAGTGGGCTGGGGGTGCACAAGGAGTTGGGAGGGGACACAGATGGGACAGCTGATCCCAGCTGACCAAAGGGATATTCCAGACCATATGGCGTAATTCACAGCATATAAAGCTGGGGGAAGAAGAAGGAAGGGGGGGATGTTTGAAATGATGGTGTTTGTCTTCCCAAGTAACTGTTACACATGATGGGGCCCTGCTTTCCTGGAGATGGCTGAACACCTGCCTGCCGATGGGAAGTGGTGAATGAATTCCTTGTTTTGCTTTGCTTGCATGTGCAGCTTTTGCTTTACCTATTAAACTGTCTTTATCTCAACCCACAAGTTTTCTCATTTTTACTCTTCCGATTCTCTCTCCCATCCCACTGGGGGAAGTAAGCAAGTGGCTGTGTGGGGCTGTGATGGGTTGACCCTGGCTGGACGCCAGGTGCCCACCAAAGCCGTTCTATCACTCCCGCATCCTCAGCTGGACAGGGGAGAGAAAAATATAACAAAAAACTTGCGGGTCGAGATAAGGACAGGAGAGATCATTCACTAATTACCATCACGGGCAAAACAGACTCAGCTTAGGGAAAATTAGCTCACTTTTTATTACAAATCAGCCAGAGTAAGGTAAATGAGAAATAAAACGAAATCTCAGAACACCTTCCCTCCACCCCTCCCTTCTTCCCGGGCACAACTTCACTCCCGGATTTCTCCACCAAGCCCCCCCAGCGGCACAAGGGGGACAGGGATGGGGTTTACGGTCATCACATGTTATTTTCTGCCGCTTCACCTCCTCAGGGCGAGGGCTCATCACACTCTTCCCCTGCTCCAACGTGGGGTCCCACCCACGGGAGACAGTCCTCCACGAACTTTCTCCAAAGTGGGCCATTCCCACGGGCTGCAGTTCTTCACGAACTGCTCCAGCATGGGTCCTTTCCACGGTGTGCAGTCCTTCAGGCACAGACTGCTCCAGCGTGGGTCCCCCACGGGGTCCAAGTCCTGCCAGAAAACCCGCTCTGTGGGCTCCTCTCTCCACAGATCCGCAGGTCCTGCCAGGAACCTGCTCCAGCGCAGGGTTCCCACGGGGTCACAGCCTCCTTCAGGAACCCACCTGCTCCGGCGTGGGGTCCTCCACGGGCTGCAGGTGGATATCTGCCCCACCGTGGCCCTCCCTGGACTGCAGGGGGACAGCCTGCCTCACCAGGGTCTTCACCACGGGCTGCAGGGGAATCTTCGCTCCGGCGCCTGGAGCATCTCCTCCCCCTCCTTCTGCACTGACCTTGGTGTCTGCAGGCTTGTTTCTCTTACATGTTCTCACTCCTCTCTCCGGTGGCTGTTTTCCACGTCCCAACTTTTTTTTCCTTCTTAAAAATGTTATCACAGAGACGTTACCACTATCACTGTTTGGCTCGGCCTTGGCCGGCGGCGGGTCCGTCTTAGAGCCAGCTGGTATAGGCTCGCTCTCTCTCGAACACAGGGGAAGCTTCCAGCAGCTTCTTACAGGAGTCACCCCTGTAACCCCCCCCCGCTACCAAAACCTTGCCACATAAAACCAATACAGGGGCTTAGTTGCTGGCTGTGGTTAAACCATGACAAAGGGATAGCAGAAGCAAGGGAGACACCTAATATGCATTATGAACACACTATTTCAGGAGGGAGGACAGTTTAGCTGAATAAACACGAGAGGTGCCCTGCTAATTCCTTTTAAGGCCAGAAAATGGCTTCGCCTATCCTCATTTATTTACGAGTATAGACACAGTTACAAAGTCTGACATTTTGCCTGCTGTTTGGTGCCTTTTAAGACAACCTCACTGTATAAATCAGTAACAGTTGCCCTTGATTATAAAGTTTCAATAAAGCAAACATTAAATGCAAGTAAGTATCAGAAAAGGATCAAATGTAGTGGTAGAATAGAAAGGGAATTATGTTGCCTTTATGAGAAGAGGAGGCAAACTCTGGAATGACTAGTAGGCCAAGTAGGATCTGGAAAAACAGACTGCGACAAACTGTAAAAGATATAGACATGGAAAATGTGACCTGGAATCAATAATCACTTTGATTTGATCATTAATCTCAGACTGGAAAGGGAGTTAGTGAGAATCTCCTGCAGTAAAGAGAAGAGTGATCGATCACAGTACAACTTGGAGCTACCTGGCATCTACAAAAGTCTAGTGTCAAATCAACCACTGAGGCAAATTGTCGTTTCCATGTTTTAGCTTTGTTGCATATAACACAGACCAGAAGAAAATTCATTTATATATTTAATTAGAGTTCCATTACAGATTCCGTCAGGGAGCAGCACTGAGCTCAGTCAACATTCTCCTGACTTTGAAAGGAGACTTCTGCTCCTATTATTGGCATTTCCTAAAGCAGTTTCTCCTGGAGAAGGTACTGTCTCAGACACCTCACAGCATTAATAAAAGAGCAAGTGCGTAAGAAGGTTGTAAAATAAGGAAATAATTACCCTAATCCTCACAAAGAATCCAACTTAAAATACCTCTGTAATTGATGATTTCTGTTCCAAGCACTGGGGTCATCTCCAGAACTGTGATGAAGGCCTTGTCCATAGATGTCAATGGGAATGGAGACATGCGGTGTCTTCTTGCTACCTTGGTAATGTCAACAGCACTGTGACCTGCAACAAGAGAGCACCAAGTTTATGTATGCTACAACGTGTAGATGTACACAGTGATGTTCATTTAAACCACTTTACTGAAATTATTCTGGCACTTTGGGGTAAATTAAATTAGTTAGTTATCACTATTGAGCATTTATGTCAGACACTGGGAAGGCACTGCATTCAACTAGAATCAAAAGAGAGATTTAAAACAAATGCAATTTACAGTTGAAAAAGTTCACAAAAATGTATATCCTTACTTGTCGTGAAAAACATACCAGAAGTCTTGCTGAGCATGAAAGGATCAGTTAATCAGAAACAGAAACCCTTCAAGATGATACAGTATTTTATACTGAAGATGATAATCCGAGGCTAACTCAGTTCTATGAACTATGAACTCAGGGTGATTCACTCCTCATTCTGTTCTCAACAAACACATCTCTATGCTATGTGCAGTGCACAGCTAAAACATAAAAATGGACACTGTCCTGGGGAGATTGCAATCCAAGAGTGAGATGGGAGTCAAAAGGTTTGAAAGCAAGATAGAGGGAAGTACAATGAAATCACTGGACAGTCAGGACAGTAGTGTTTCCAGCTAGTAGGCATCCTACCCATTGTCAAGACTTTGTAGTCACCATAGCAAAGTGACATTTAAATATAATTTAATATAAATATAATATAATTTGAGTGAAGGTAGTAGGATAGATTAATGGAAGTTTACTTTCCCATGTATGAGGGACAGGTTGGGAGAAAATACGACAAAAGTTGTTTGAAAATGAAGCCAGCAGCATGTTTGATTTCTTGATACTTACTAAGAGACTAAACAAGGGGACAACAAGCTTTGAAGGATTTTGAAAGTGAAGATAAGCAGCTGAAGAGAGGGAACTATTGCAGGAATACATAAATAAGAGTAACAGATAAAAACCAGAAGATTAAGAAAATGACATCTGTAGAAATATCTTGAATGGATTTGCCTAGAACAAGAAGGTATTTATGAGAGCCAAAGTGGATGACGTTCTATATGTAATATGTAATGATATTCCTAAAGCAACATAAATTATAATAAGATAGCATTAACAAATAATAGAAACTAATTTTTAATGACATGATTTTGGTTTGCAGTAGCTACCTAAATATCCCATTTGCTGCTGCACACGCCTTCACATTCTGGAAAAAAACGGATTATTGCTTTAAATGTAGTCTTCTAATAAAAATAAGTACAAAAATAGTACAACAATCATGCAATCTAACTTTTTCCTTCAGAAGAGAAGGTCACTTCACCAGTCTGTATATACAAAACCTTCAGCACTGATGCATGCTTGTCTCTCTATGTGGGAGATTGTTCACTAATTTATTTTTTGCTGTTAACACAGTAACTATCTTTAAGAGGAAGAAGTAGAGACAAACAAAACGGCCCACCTAATTCCAGTCCCAAGGACGATTCTGGAAGACATTATTTGAACAATCTCTTTGTATGTATTTAGAAAATAACATGATGATAAAAGCAGGCACTGCAAATTTGTCAAGCACAAATAATTTCTAACTGACTTAATTCCTTTCCTTAACATAGCAGTTGGCATACTGAGGAAAAGAGAAACAGCTGATGAGATATATTTTAATTATATTAAGACTTTTCACACTCTTAAACATGGCTTTCTCATAAGCATACTAGGGAGAAATGATCCAAATTAAACTATTGTAAGACAAAATGTAACTAGTGGAAAAACTGCATTCCTGGACTTAATAAGAGGGATGTCCCTAGCAAGCTTATATTTTCCATTATTATGCCTGTATTTTGTTAGCAACCTCATAAAAATGAGGAAAAGGAAAGAACAGCATGTGAGACACAGTCGAACTTCCCATACCTTTCTCTGCATAGAGAAAGAAACCCTGCTTAGCAGCACCATAATTCCTGCAGGTCCAGCAGATTCCACACAATATATGTTAAAAACCTTTTCCTGACTGTATAAATTAAGAAACTATTTTCTTAAAAGGAAAAGTTGGAAAAAATGAAGGAAGATGCTAGGAAAAAATATGTCACAGCAGTGAAAGCTGGGGGAATTGTGTGCCAGCAAACAACCTTTATGCTACAGCCATTAGGCGCTTTAATGTTTATGTGGTACTGCTACCTAAAATTCATTGTTAACTACTTCAAAAACTAACATTTCACCTCTTTAACCCTTAAAACATGAATGAATTCAGAGGCTTTGAATGCTTTGATGCCCAGATACCTTCAGATTTGGAACTCTATGTCTAATACATGTAATTTGCTTAAGTCAGAGGTTCTGTTAAAAGCTACAGAGAAATCCGTTCTTCAACACAGTGTTTTTGAAAATAGATAAAATCCCTTAATCTCTGACAACTTTGTTCCAACACCAAAAGTATCACCCATTATTTCTGCAAATGAAGTCAAGAAAATACATACTCAAAAATAGAGCCCCTTCAGGTTTAACACTAGCATGAATAACCTTAATGAAGACTGGAAGAAAGACGCATGTGTTACTACTGACCCTTCTCTCTCCCTATTTCTCCCTACAAACAAATGCTAACTCTTCTTTTAGAGGTATCATACATTTAAACAGCCCCAGAGACAAACAAATAATGATTTTTAAATTCTAAAAGTGGTACTTTTTAATTACAAGTAAATGACATTAAACAACTCCTCAGATCTTCCCAAGTTATCTTTCGCTAATGTCAAATGTTAGATGGCTCTAAAAATAACTACTTGCATTAAGCAGCATTTTGCATGACAAACTAATCCTCTAGCTTTGAAGCAGCTAAGTCAATCAGTTGCATAAGGGAGAAAATTCCTCACAGCTTCCTCTCTTATCACTAAAACAACTTCTTATTCCTGTTGTTATATATATATATCTACACACACACATATGTTGGATCAAATTTTAGACTAGGAAAGATTTCCATAAAACAAAGGAAAGGAATTGTGCAAATTAAAGAACAGGTCATTTGGATCAAATCTGAATTCTTAACCTTTACATTTTTTGGTTTGGTTTTATGTAACCCAACATTCAATTTCATGTTCAGGTATGAAAATAAAAATCATATCTATTTAAATTGAGAATTTCCATTTTCATTGAGTGTTGATTCTTTTTGCCCATAGAACTTGCACACATATGATCATTTACAACAACACATCACCAAAACCAACACAGACCTTCACGTCATTAGAAGACCAACTTGGAAGAAAAAATTAGAAGGCAACTATCCATTAATACATGAACACTATGAGCTATTTACACTTTTATTTTCTCTTTGGAATGAATTTCATTATCTTAAGTTATTAAATTTCTTCTGCAAACCCACTTATGTCCCAACCATACCCTTCTCTTTTCATCTATCATTTGCTGCCTTCTGAACCGTCTTAGTTTCTCAACAGAGCTATGAAGTTTCAGTACTTACTTGCTCTAAGGATGTTCTCCTTGCTGCTGCACCTAGACTGGACCTGCAGAGAGAGCACAGAGCCTATGAGCTACAGAAGTTAACAAGAATGCAAAATACAGAGATATAATGGGCAAGCTCCTGGGATCTAAGACAGAGGCTATACATATTTTCAACAACATTCTTACATACTCTAAATGACATAAGTATATTTAAGCAGAAGGGTAGTAGCTGATGGTCAGAACCTGATACAAGCAATTTGATGCACCCTCCCTGCCCCCCAAGAAACAAGATGGCCTAAGGAGAGTAACAGAGTAAATTCAAAGAACACAGTGGCTAAAATTATGTGTTAAGCTTCAGTTTTAAACAGAAAATCCACGTTTTCTTACACAATTTTAATTACAGTAACTCTGAATCTAGGTCCTGTTTTATGACTAGACAAAATACTAATATAACTCTATTATCATGACCTGCTTTAAAATTCTATTATTCATATTTTCAGGTATTATAGAAAGAGTTTAAAATACTCAATTTAGATTGTGTTGACTCTGAAGATATTTAATAAGACTTCCTTTGCAATCATATAAGCAACTCACAACTGTATAAACAGCTCCTGGCTGGAGCCAGATAAATTTACTCAGTTGTTTCTTTTTGCTATGTTCAGTATGAATTTTACAGTGCAATTGTGCTTTAAAAAGTAACTGTGAGAATGACAACTGGTTTCTCAACAAATCCTCTTCCTAGATGCTTAGCTGCCACCGTGCTATTCCAGATACTTTAGTCTGACTCCACGGAAATGGGAGGATTCACATTGGTCTAATATTCTAGTAACACTGGATATTTAGAGTTCCATTTGTTTACCATGCAGATTTAAAAAAACAATTGTTTTTTGAAGAGTATGAGTCCTGTAAACACAACACAGTTCAAACCTTATCTATACTGAAACATTAGCTCTTGTTAATTCTTTGCAGGTTTGGAAAGATAGCTCACTGCATAATAACACTGAAGTTGCAAGTTTTTAGATGAACTAATTTGAACACCAGGCTATCTTCTGGTAGGTCAGCTGACTGAACTGGTAATGCTTGCATAAAAAGCTCTTTGTGTGGACAAAACCCAGGTAAAGTACTTCACAGGAAGACAAACCTCTGAGAGAGTATGAATGGAATCTTTCTCTTTTTTACTTTATTGACACATGTATTGCGAAATTTCAGTGAGAGGACTAATAAAGTAGAATGGTGTACATGCGATGAAAGAAGTGGAATAGCACAGGTGACGCTGAGGGTGTAATTTCCCTGCAGAACATTTGTCTCTGCTGTAAAGTGAAGGAGTGAATCCAGATTATCTTTCAGATTACAGTTTCAATTTGCAGTTACAGAAGAATTACCTATAAAGTGAGTATGTATGATCTAGCAATTGATGAATAATGGTACACACTCAAGCCCCAAAAAGCTGTCTTCAGAAAGGAACAACCATTTAAGGCTGAAACCGACAGTGCCCCACCTTCTAAACCTCTTTCTTCTGTTCCACAGCAGCTTGCCCCAAATGTATATTCACATAAAAAAACTGGATTCTACAGCGCAACACAGTCTACTTATTGTAATGGAATAACTTATGGAAAGTAATGTTGCAACTTAGAGTGGGTTATGGTGTCCTTCCCTGAAAAAAACTGTTGTTTAAAAAAAAAACAAACAGAAAAAAACCAAACCCTCCCTCCTTCCCACCAAAAATACTATACAAGAAAGCTGCAAACAAAATATTAATGATGCTCAGATTTGGCCCAGAGTTGTTTTACCAGATTTCAAAGGCATGACATGAACTCTCTTTGGAAGAAGTAAATATTTAGCTATAATTTACCAAAGGACAATTCTGGACCAAAAAGATGGTATAATGGTAGGAAAGAAGGCACAAAAGAGGGAGAGGCAGAGAGGGGCGCAGAGAGAGAGAGAGAGAGAAAGAGAGAAGCAGGATGGATGTGGCAAGGCAGAAGATGGTGTGTGCAAAAGGAGACATGGGCCTATGTGTGTAAGACTACTGTTTAAAATGGAAGAGGCTCTCTTATTTCTCACTGAAAACCATATGAAAAGAGAAAACGAGGAATGGGCCTGTTGCAAAATAACCAAGCGATTCAGCAAACTGTGGAATGAAACTCAGTGAGATAACATAGTCCTAAAGAAAAAGGCAAAAAAACAAAAATACAAAACACAAACATTTGAAACAATCTACTAAAACAAACCAATTAAAATATGTGATCCAAAGGACACAGATAAAAGCTACTAGAGAAGGAGGAAAAATGTTAGCAGACAAAGACAGTGCTAAAGAAGTAAAATGGAAGTCAAGAGAGAGTCTTCAACAAAGTGGAGGAACAGAAGGAGCCCAAACCCATAGCGCAAAGCAATGTTTGCGAATGGAAAACAGCTCCTTTGAGCAGTAATAGTTACTCTCGAGTTGTAGCCTCTATTCCTCCTCAGTTCATCTTTAAGCCCTTCCAACCTATAGTGGAGCTAGTGTATGGACAAAAACAAGAGATTTATAATGAACAGAGCAGCTGAGATTTGCAGATCAAATCTTCTAATATAAAAAACGTGCTGACAAAGTTTTGCTCTTACAGTGTCCAAATGACAATGGTAACAAAAGACAGCTGGCTTCACACACAGCCTCATACAGGTCATTTTTTTAATTCTGTGCACACAGAGGACTTTAAATTTCCTTTTTGATTTCTTACACCCAGCCTACAGTTTCCATGTTATCACTCACCTGATGGGCAACATATGCAGTATGAGAAATAATTTGTTTCCCACAAATTTTAAAAGCAGCTGTGGAAGAGGAATCCATGATAATAAAATAAAAGGCTTGATCAGCTAGACTTGATCGTTTCCCAACCTATGCTCACAGCTGCAGAATACAAACCATGTTTTAACATAACTGACATCAAAATTAGTTATTACATAAAACTTCTGTTTGTTTAATATGAATTGCACATTAATATCCTAAATGTTATTTTTAAACAAAACTGCAGTAAAATATGATTTTGAATAAAACCCACCACTTCTCTAACACATACAGTTTTAGCAGCAATGGAGCTTTGTATAAATGGGGTCATGTGCTTTAAGTGCCTTTTATCATATTCATTATTTGTATGTTTTACTACTTTGTTATTTGTGACATTTATGAAAAATGTGTATTCTTTTCACAGCTACTGCTAAGTAAAGAATCCATATTACATTGCATATAGTACCATGACTGACTGGGGCAAGCGATTAGTAGTATTATTTACTAGAATTCTTCTCATTCACAAGTAGTTACAGAAATAACAACCTATGGCTGTCTCTCCTTTCACAGGGAAAGTATAGATTTATTGTTTGTCCATTCTACAGCCTCTTGGCTCACAATGTACCTTGGCAGAAGATACAGTGGGCTACCAGCCAGTACCATTCCGCTGCATAGTTCAGGCAGAATGTAACCAAACCCAAAGCATTCAATTCACATTACTCTGGTTTTTAAGCAAACTGGATTTTTATGTTCTTTAAGATATTTCATCATGCTGGAATGCAGAGTAAGCTTTCTCCCATAGACTGAAGTAGTAAATAGAATGTGAAATAAAGTACTCAAAAATAAATTAAAGGAATGGTAAAATAAAGAGTCCTGCTGACAATTTCTATCTATCAATCATGACTGGTTTGAAAAATGAAATCAATGACTGTATTAAATTGGATTTATCTAAATCTACATGGTATGTTTTGCTGCAAATAAAAATCAGTCCACAAAAATTTTTTTTACAAGAAAAATAGAAAAAAGACACAAAGAAAAGTTCATGCTACAAGTGAAAAATTCACGTGAAAAATAAAGAAAAAAAGAAAACTGAAAAACCCTTTAACACTTTACCATGACTGTTAGGAATGGTTAGAGAAATTACTTACCTTTTTAAAGTCATAACAAGATTAGCACAGAGTATTAAGTCAGCTCTTCATTATGGGAGGTACAATTAAAAGCCATTGGTTATAATAAAACAAATTGCTACACAAAGATGAAGAGTTTCCAGCCCAATATGAAAAGCTAACTCTTATGGGAGTACATTTCAACTCAATTTTACAACATGAAGAACAATTCAGAACAATGACATCAAAACATGAGTTATCACCAACAGAAAGAACCCATTTCTCAGGAACACAGAGCCTGTAGGAGGCTAACCCATGATCTTTATCGTATATGGGAAAGCACACTGCTCCACTTTTAGGAAAGCATGCAGAATGTGGAACCACCAGCAGAAACCCAAACATACATACAGACACAGAGGACTAAGGTACAGCAAAGGGAATGAGTTCGCCAAGCTGTAATGAAGGAAGCAGGGTATGCAAAGCACAGCAGCCATTAACAACTTAAGAACTCTATTCCTCTAACTGTCTCAAGAACACCAGGCAGGCCTGTTTATGAGGTATTGCACCTACTACAACTTACTGTCAGTGAGAAAGTGCATAACTCATATAACCTCTCCTTGAAACTTCAGCAGTTTTATGATGACAATTTATTCTCTGTGATGTGGGAAAGTACGCTGCTGCTACTTTTTTTCTACATGTGATTTATTAGTAATTACATGATCTGAGTTCTGTACAATATACTCTGTGCACATGCCATTTAAATGGTCTCTCACATACTTGCCTGCTTTAAATAGATTTCAAATCACATATGATCTGATTTATAACTGTAGGGGTTTGCACGGTATCTCTTCCCTAAAACATCTTTTCCCCCCTAAGAGTGCAACATACATTAATCAGTACCTGTAAATAAATACATAAAATAAAACTAAACCATGAATAACAATGTCTCAAACTGGTGTGATAATACTGTAAACAGTGATTTTGGCCTGTTATTCTAAGCAATATACATAAGGTTAAACTAGGAGCAAATTGAAAAAATGTAATGAAATACATTGGTTGGTTTCATTAAAAAAAATGTTTTGAGAAGAACAGAGAGAATTGCTTTGATTGAATTAATATGGAATATAAAAATGAAGTGGTTAAAACAAAATTCACAGGAAAAGTGTATCTGGAATTGTGTACCTCAGAA